CTTAATAAATGTTTGTTGACCGACTGGCTGAATTTTGCAGAATGGAGAAAAGGAGGTACAGACTGATCATGTGATTTCCCCTAAATTACACATATGATAAAGGAAACAGAACTCAAATTCAGACATCCTTACTAACAGTCTTATCTGCTTTCTGTTAGGCTGCATTGAACGTTTTAGTGAGAAACCAAGACAAATATATAAAGGCCATTGTCTAATCTGCTTTGTGCTTTGCTAACTCTAATTGCTACTCACAGTATGTTCTCCTAATGGACAGGTAGCCAATAGCAAGTGGCAGGACAGAATTTCTGGCAGCAAGGTCCCTGGGAAGGTCCACTAAGTATTGGAGTCATGTCAATGTAAATATCTTTCACTGAGCTAATAACCAGAGGAGAAAAGTGCCATGTCTTGCATGGAGGGCTTCAATCACATGGACAATGACTCATCCTCTCCCCTTTAACCCATGTCCTTTTAAAATTTCTCTTTGGATGTTAATAATAAGGTGATATGATCATTATTGATAGGAGTCATGTTGTTTCTTTACTTGTTTTCTTTTTCTTCTATATGCACCCTTTTTTTTTGTCTTTCATTCCCTTCTAAATGCTTCAATATCCTTTCCATAGTATAAACCCAAACCAGTAAACTACTGTAAACCAAAATTCTGGATTTACATTTACTAGGTTCAGCCTCATAACCTTCTCATACAAATCTCTCTTTCACTTGACCCAAAGCTCAGCACAGGGCCTGGCACATAGTAGGCATTTAATAAATGCTTGTTGACCAGGTTTTCTCTTTCTCTTGGTGTTTCTTCTGGCAATATCTGAATTTAGTCTGTGTCTAGGTCTACACAACAATAAGAAAAAGGGTACTATTACGATCACTCAAGCTAGTATGATGTTGAATATAGGGGCAGGCTTCTGTTAACCTACATACCCCCCCCAATTCCAATAATCACACCTGATACCATAAATGGTAGAGATAACACTACTTGCCACTCTAATGAAGTCTTATTCAATTTAAACGGACCTATACTCTACACTTGACACTGGTTGAGGGCCCCTGTCTCAAGGACAAAGTACCTAGGGTTACTCAAGAAACAAGCAACCCTCTGCTTTGGTGAACCCTCCTTCCCCAGTGATCTATACAGCCATCCAGATGAATAATGCTATCCAAAGCTTGAGTCTGTCTTCTCTCTCATTGCAGAAAATCACTCTGAGATTCTAAAGAGATATCATAATTGCTGAATCTCATTGACTTTCTTCAGCCTTCATCCTTCTCTATCTCTCTCTGTTGTATTTATTTGCTGTCCCTCCCCTTACACCAGGAATTCTTGGGCAGATTACAGCTCCTAACTGGTTTTCTATCATGAATCTGTTTGGCAGGATGGTGATCCCATGGACCCCTTCTCGTAATAATATTTTAAATGAAGAAAGTAAAATATATAAGATTATAAGAGATTACATTTAATACACAGGATAAAATACATGAGATTACAATTAATTGCAATTTGATTATATTGAAATAGAGTTATAAAAATACATTAAGAAAAGTTCACAGACCCAAGGTTAAGTACCTTTCCTCTATGCATTCTCCCTTAGTAACACCATTAACTTTCATGAATTTAACTGAGTGCATGCTGGTAAATATATAACAACTGGTTCTCTGGAGGGAGAGAAATGTACACATGACACACTTTTGAATTTAACCTGTATCATAAACATTTCCTCCATCACTTTTGTAAATCTAGACCATCAAAAAACAATAAACCACCCCTTAATTTGTAGTTTGTCAATTTCCAAGGTGTAAATGCTTACACCGAAAATTTAAGCCAACTCTCACAAACCAACTTGAGCTGACTGCAGCATACCCCTGAATTTAACTATCATTCTGTCATTCTCTATGAAGATTATATAAATATGTATATATGGGCACATATACATGTTCATGTACATATGTGTGTACACATATAAACACATGTGTTACATATACGCATGCACACATACAATATATTATTAACATGTATATATACTACATAATAGTATATATAGCATATAAATATGTATACATAGAATATCTATCCCTTGCAAATAGATTGCACAAGTACCTAACATTTAGTATACAATCTATTTTCAAGGAATATATATTTATGTGTATTTCTGTATATTTATTTGTATATATTAAGAGATATTTGTATTTATTAACTTTTTATTTGTGCTTGTTGTGTCTCCCATTAGACTGTAAGCTGCTCATGAGCAGGAATTGTTTCTTTTTAGTTGTATTCCTATGGAGTAGATGCTTAGTAAAAACTCATTGATTCATTGATTGACTGATTGATCTTCTTCCCTAAGCCTGAGCAATCCACATAACTCAGAACTAGTAAAGGTCAAGGTCCAGGTGTGTTTCTCCACATCACGACTTTGTTCCTTACTGCTCCTTGTCTTCGATTCTTCCTTGGTCCAATGGGAAACTCCCCATTTGGTCCAGGGCATTTGGTGTGGGACAGAGGTGAGGAACCTGTGGCCTCAAGGCCACATGTGGCCTTCTAGGTTCTTGGGTGTGGCCTTTTGACTGAGTCCAAGTTTTACAGAACAAATCCTTTTATTAAGGGGATTTGTTCCATGAAGTTTGGATTCAGTCAGAGGGCTGTACTTGAGGACCTAGAGGGCCACGTAGGGCCTTGAGGCTGCAGGTCCCCACCCCTGGTATAGGAACTCCTCTGCTGTTGTCTCTCTTTCTGGGGCTGCATGGGTTTCAAGTGCTCATGGTTCCCTGAAGAGATTTTATGGTTACTTAGACTTCCCTCAAGGGAACTGAAGTCCATTTCTGTCTGAGCTGCTTCATGCTCTGGTTTTTTCTTTGTAAAAGTGTCTGTGTCATAGGATCATAGGGTGAGAGCTATAAGGACCTGAGAGTCCATCAAGTGCAGCTACCTCATGTACAAATAAGGATACTGAAATTTATGGAGGTGAAAGGGCTTGTCCAAGGCCATGAAGGCTGTTAGCATCAGAAGTTGGGTTTAAATCTGGGTCTTTTGACTCCAGATGCTATACTCTTTCCATTGTACTCCATTGCCTCTCTTCTTCAAGGATAAATCCAAGAATATAGCCTAGGTATATGAACTCACAGTGAATCAACCAATCATCCTCAGTATGTTGCCAAAGTGGCAACCCAGGATAAGACACAGTCATCACACTTTATCAAGGAGTTCACCTTGTCAAGAGAATTTAATACTCTGCTAAGGAAGCATCATCAGTGACTTAGCAAAGTCCTCAAATAAGGAGGTTGGACTAGATAATCCCTAAAGTCCCATCGAACCTATAATTCTATAACTTTATAAGTTAGTCCATTCTCCTCATTTTACAGATACGGAAAATGAAGCTAAGAGAGGGGAAATAATTTGCCCACTTTATTCACTACCAGTACAGTGCTAAAACTGGCAATTGTTTTATAAATAAACCATTTCTTTTGGTAAGCCAATGCTTTCTGTGGTAGCATGTCACCAGCCAAAACATCTAGGTAGGTTTCCTTGATTGTTATGGGTGGAAATATCAAATCCTATGAGCAATAGCTGAAGGAATTGGTAATGCTAAACCTGGAGAATAAAAGACTCAAGATGGACATGATAGTTATCTTCAGATGTTTGAAAGGCTCTCATATGGAAGAGAGATTGGACTTGCTCCACTTGACTCCTAATAATAGAACTAGGAATAATTCATCAAACCTGAAAAGATGCAAATTTAGGCTTAATCTCAGAATTATGGTAGAGCTTCCCAAGAGTGAAATAGGCTTCCTCTGAAGAAAGTGGGTTTACCCTCACTGTAAGTTTTTAACTATGTAACACTACTTGTTGAAGATATAACAGAGGGTATCTTTTTCAGGTGTGGGTTATGTAAGAAGGTCATTGAGTTATTTTCCAATTATGAAATTCTATGATTCTGTGATCTAGCTTTCAGGTTTTCAACTAAGTGTTAGCAGAAAGTTGAAAGGAAGTAGAAGAAAGTCAGGCCAATCATGCAAATCTATTTGCAAAATGGCTAGTTCTCCGTTAGTAAAGTGAAATGTATATGTGAGGCAATGACTCAAAAATCTGAGATTTAAAAGCTAATAAAACAAAATCCTGAAGGAATCAAACCTCTATTAACAAAGTAAGCATTTTTACAAAAGAAAAATGTAAATGGCATGTCAACTTTTACCATCTTCATTTGTATTTTTCTGCATCCCATCTACTGCAATTCATAAAATGTCATATGTCTCTCTTTGGGTACAAATAAAGTAACTGAATAAATGAAAGATATATACTCAAATGATTAAATACCATGTCATTTGACTTTATGTGAAGTAATAAATACTTTTCTTTCTCCTAAAAAATACTTCAAATATCTGAAGGACAGACAACAACGGGGGTATATGGGGTGTTCAGGGAGGAGTAGCACCCCTGATGTGAGGGCTTGCCAAGCCCTTTTCAGGACAGCTCCTGAAACACCTTTGGTGTCTGACCTTTCACCCAACTCTCACTTGTGGCTTCAGAAACTGTAGCATGTGTAGTGAAAAGTGTCTCGGCAGACAGACTAAATCAGGTTAGTATAACCAATGGAACCCATTGGTGAGTTAGAGGAATGTCTACCCCAAGCATGTGAAGGCTTTGCACAGAGTAATGGGCAAATGAGAACAGTTTGTTCCAACAGCCATGAAAGTGGCTGAAAGCCATGAAGCAGGTGCTGTGGAGTGCTTTGAGTTTGGGCAGACATCAAAAACACCAAGATTACCCACTGTATCCCGGGCCATCAGCAGTCATCCTTTTGTCTTGCCACTGGACTTTGATGACTCTGGAAGAGAGAGCGAGGCTAACAACTTAGTGCAACTCTGTCTCAATTCAGCACAATTCACACACAAGTCAAGGCATCACCACATGATGTCATTTGTCCTGCTTGAAAAACAAAGGATGAACAACTTCAGATGTTCACGTTGATGATGATCTGATTGAAATTTATTGAAAACTTAGATCTTATGATATATCCCAACCTCCCCCCCCAACATCCAAACACATTACAGATGGAGAAACTGACTCAGAGAGAAGGAACTTACGTAGGTCTTTAAACTATAGATAAATTGCTATGCTCTTTGCTTTATTTGGTTTTGTAGACAAAATTCCACCAAAATGACCAATGTTGGGATAATTTCTTCAGTTCCCATCCAGATCTGTGTCGTCATTTAGATATAATCTTAAAAAGAAAAAAAAAATAAAACGTGCTTGGTCTCCTATTTTACCATCTGTGTTACCCATTAGTAGACAAACTCAGATGCAAATAATTATTTTGGAGGAGTTCTTAATCTGGGGTCTATGAGCTTGTTTTAAAAATAATATTTTGATAACTGTCTTTCAATATCATTGGTTTCCTTTGTAATCCTATGTATGTAGTTTGTGCCTTTAAAAACATAATTCTAGGTAGGGGTCCATAGGCTTCATCAGACTGCCGAAGGAATCCATGGGACAAAAAAAAGACTAACCCCTACTCTTGGGCCCTGCTTCACAGCCATTAGGATTTGAGGTTCTGATTACAGGTCTAGTGGAAAGAATGCTACATCTGGAATCAGATATCTTTGGGTTCAAAACCTGGCTTTGCTAATGGCTTCCTATGTGAAGCAATGGACAGAGTGTTGAACTTAGACTTAGGAAGATGTGGGTTTGAATTTTGCCTAAGTCACTAGTTGTATGACCCTGAGCAAGTCTCTTAACCTCTTGCAGTTACAATTTCCTATTCTATACATGAGAATAATAATAGCCACTACCTCATAGGTTTGTTGTGAGGGCCACATGAGGTAATATAAGTAAAGTTAGTTGTAAATGATAATTATTATTGGCTAGTAATTCTCAGATATTGATAATCAAATAAACATTACCCTTTGCTACCGTGAAGAGTATGATAATCTAATGTCCTATGAATTAATTACTGTGATTTTTCTTTGGAGGGTGCCTAAGCCAAAGCTCATTTCCTTTACCAGTATTTCCACCTGTCTCTCTCTCTCTCTCTCTCTCTCTCTCTCTCTCTCTCTCTCTCTCTCTCTCTCTCTCTCTCCCCCATCCCTGTCTGTCTCTCTCTGTCTCTTTGCTCTGTCTCTGTCTCTCTCTATATATGAATATATGTGTATACATATGTATATGTATGTGTATATGTATGTGTATGTGTATATGTATATGTATATGTACATGTACATGTACATGTACATGTACATGTACATGTACATGTATATGTATATGTATATGTATATGTATATGTATATGTATATGTATATGTATATGTATATGTATATGTATATGTATATGTATCTTTCCACCACCTTGATCTCACTCTTCCCTATGTTTCCATTGTGCCCTCTGTAACCCTTGTTCCATTGTTAACAGATTGATCTTCGTATTAGACTTGTGTCATCTGCCCAGAAGTCAATTTGTTGATACTATATTTTTACTGGTATTTCTACATGTTGTTTCCCTTCCAGTAGAATGTGACTTCCTTATGGGAAAGAGCTCTTTTGTTTTTTATCTTTGTACCTGTGTTTCTTTTCCAGTCCCTAGCATGTAGTAGGCTCTTAATAAATGCTTGCTGAATGGAACTGAATGCAGAACTTTTTATGCCTTTTGCTGAAGTTGGGCAGATAGAAACGGGCCTGATGATTGCCAAGATCTATTCTAGTTCTAAGGCTCCTCTTTGAATTTGGCTCCAGCTACATCATATGTGTTTCATGAATGTTATTAGTAACAGCAATGCAGGATGGTGTAGTGGAAAGAACCACGGATTTGGAGTTGATGAGTTTGGGATCAAATCTGAACTCTGCACAAACCATGTGATTTGGGATAAGTTATTTACCCTTTCTTGGGCTCAGTTTACTCATCTGTAATCTCTATGGCTCCTTCTAACTTTAAATACTGTGATTCAATATAGGGAGTTTCCACATGTGGGCTGGTCTTGGTTTTTTGTTTTGTTTTGTTTTGTTTTTTAATGTGGAGGGCTAATTTAGTTTTGTTTTCTTCTGCTTTGACTAAATTAACCTAATAACTGTCAGCCCTCTACTTCACTTACTACACCAGGTCTCTGAGATAATGCAGCCCTGAAGCATATGGCCAGAGAAGAGAGAGAGAGAGACCATGCTAATAACCAAGCCACATCATCTGCCTATTCCACATTAATGTCCCCCTCATCCCTACCCCAGCCTCCCCAGCCCCCAGGCTTTTAGCCACCCCTCTCTCTAACTGCTTTGTCTTGGCTGTAGAAGAATTCCAAGTCACATGACCTGCCCTCATCTCCAAAACCCACAGTGAATGAAAATAATACACCATATAGAGTATCTTTAGAAAACCACGTAAATATTTTATAGACTGTACAGTAAATAATGTATATGTTTAGAAAGGCAATGTAAATATTTTATAGACTGCAGAGCAACTGTTAAGATGGGAATGAAATCAGTGTGTTTGGAGAAATTGAGTATGCCTGAGATTGCATGGCCCGATTTCACTGTAGCTAAGTACTGTACAGTTCATAAATCACTGTACATTCTGCATTACCTGGAAGTTAAAGAATTCCAGCTTCAAAGCAAAGTGGGCGACTCCTTTCTATTCCTGCTGCTTTGAAAGAAAGACCTTCACTCCCACCTAACTACTCAGTCCTGAGCTTTGAACTATATTAGTGACCAATTCATCCTTCTGGAGAATCTGAACAAGGCCATGTAGGGGAACTTATCTGGTTTGCCCACCACTCATTGGGAGAACAGTGAGAAAGATGATCAGGGACAGACATGGAAAACAGCTAATGAGTTCCACATGGAACAAAGGGGCCATATTTATTCAGGTGCCCCAGGATACATCATCTCAGGTTCCTACCACCCCCTGCTTCTGCATCCAGACTGGTTAATCTGCTCTGAGGTTAAGCTCAGGTTTGCTCTGATGCTGGTATAGACCCATTGCTGTCTGCATCACGTTTCATAATCAGCGTGAAATGGGCACAGGTGTGTTTTGTAGGCATGGCTGTTGATTACTGATTTAGAAAGTAAGATACAAGAAGGGCAGGACTGAAATGATAGATTTTTCTCAGCTAACTACAACACTTAGAATTGAAATTAATGATGTGTTCTATGTTTTAGAATTGAAAGAGGACTGAGAGACCATCTAGTCCTACCCTTTCATTTTACAGATAAGGAAACTGAGGCCCAGAAAAGTTAAGCATCTTGCCCAAGATCAAACAGTAGCAGAATCAGCATTTCACATCAGGTTTTCTAACTGCAAAGCCATTACACTGTATTTATAATTAAAGTTTCCCTAAAAGAAGGCCAGGGTTCCTGCTGCAGTTACGATGTAGCTACCATGTAGCCATCACTGTCTTCGTTTCTACTCCATGGTTTGCCAACTAGATGCAGTTATTATAGATGTTATTATGAGCACTCCTAGCATTTTGGAGGCATTATAAAGGTGATAGGTCAGAGCATTTTGAATGTGCTTTAATATGAGGATACAGTGGTAAATGAGTAAGAATAGAAGGGGAACAAGGAATTCAAGTGACCATCCTCACCATATGTAAGCATCACATAATATTTACGAAAACCTATTTTATAATGCCTCTGCTATAGCTAATATAAACCTCTTCTTTTCCTGAAAAGAGTTAATAATAGATCACATTTATGTAGTGCTAAATTGAAAGCACTAGTCTCACAACAACCTTGTAAGGTAAGTAGTCCAGATATGATTTATCATCCCCATTTTACTGATGGGGAAACTCAGTCAGTAAAGTTAAGTGCCTTGCTCATAGTCACATGGTCACATGGAGCTCACTGCCCTTGCTTTCTTCCTCTTTTCATTGTTATTTTAGTTCCTTCTCAGTACCTAACCTAACCATGCAGTTTGAAATGGATACAGAAGAACCATAGTGTTTTAAGGGACCTTGAGAAGTCCGTGTGGTTCAGCAAGAGAATTCATGGTGTATGTATGTATCTTATACTATAAACTTGACAACATGGTGAACCTTATTCCTCGCTTTCTGAGCAATGTCTCCTCCACCACCACAGTGTAATCTGAACCCCACAATTTCCCTGCTCAGAATGGTGCAGTGAATCTAAATCCTGGGCCTACCATTTACTACTGGGCAACCTTAGGCAAGTAGCTTAACTTGCCTTGTCTTCAATTCCCTCATCTGGAAAATGAGGAGTTTGGACTACATGGTTTTTAAGGTCCCTTCCAGCTCTAAATTTATGTGTCTATAGTCACAAAGTTTGATCCCCAAGTCTACTGTGGAAACGTATGCTATGGGTCTAGCAGGATAGACAGCTGGATAGCTCATTATAGGATCTCCCAGTTTCTCTCTAATCCCCCAGGATTACATCCTAAAAATCAACACTTCTACACTTGCCACAAACTCAGGATTAGCTGCTATTGCACCTGAGGAATAGACTAGGGCAAGGGGTGTTTAACCTAAGGGCCATGAAATAAATAAATAAATAGATAGATAGATAAATGAATGAATGTGTATGTATATGTACGTATGTATATACACGCACATATGTATGTATGTGTATGTGTATGTATATGTATGCATGTATATGTGTATTTATATTTATATATGTATGTAAAATTGATTTCCTTTGTTTTTACATATATATATCTATACACACACACACGTATATTTCAATGGAATTGATTTCCTTTGTAATCCTATGTAATTTGTTGTGTTCATTTGAAAACATTATTCTAAAAAGAGTTCCCTAGTGTTCACCAGAGTGCCAATGGAGACCATGACACACACAAAAATGTTAAGGAACTCTGCTCTATGGCGGACCAACACATGACCCTGGTACTCTCACAGAATCTAGAGAGCTTGCGATGCCAGCAGTAGGCTTTAGGTAGCAGCAGATTTAGTAGCAGCTGAGATGCATTAAGCTGCATTTCTCCAAGCACCAAGAAACTATGTATAACTGAGCTGGTTAAAGGGGAGGAAGAATGGTGTCTGCTCCTGAGGGAGAATTAGGCTGTCTGTAGCTTTTTTGCCTTTTCACAGTTTTATGGTGAGCAAGATTAAGATCCAGGTAAGCTGCTTCTGATCCCAGAAAGGGCACAGCTGTGGATAGAGCGCCTGCCTTGGAGTCAGGAGGACCTGAGTTCAAATCCGGCCTCAAACACATAACACTCACTAGCTGTGTGACCCTGGGCAAGTCACTTAACCCCAGCTGCCTCAGAAAGAAAGAAAGAAAGAAAGAAAGAAAGAAAGAAAGAAAGAAAGAAAGAAAGAAAGAAAGAAAGAAAGAAAGAAAGAAAGAAAGAAAGAAAGAAAGAAAGAAAGAAAGAAAGAAAGAAAAAGATAGGAAAGAAGAAAGGAAGAAAGAAAGAAAGACAGCACAGCCACATTACCTGAGCTTCATATGAAACTTCTCTGACAAAACCTACTTGTTGATCCATGGGAAGGTGCCCAGCAAACCACATATCATACCTATGTTTTAACTCCCCTTTGAGCATCTTATGCACTGTATTTCCACTTGGCCTCTGCCCATGGGGAAGGACAATATCAATTTTCTCAAGAAGTGAGTCTGTGTTGATGAGGCCAATCCAAAGCATCCCTCAACGGATCTTATTCCTGAGACTGCCTCATAAATCTTTGGATACCCTAAAAAGAAGATGGCAGGATCAGAGGAATGATTGCAATAGAATTGTCTTCTTTCATCTAAGCTTAACAAGGAACCCTTCCAAACATCAAAACTTTAAGGGAGACTCATATTAAGAAATACAAATCCACAAAAACACCTCTACCTCCATCTCTCTGTTTCTCTCTCTCTCTCTCTCTCTCTCTCTCTCTCTCTCTCTCTCTCTCTCTCTAATATATCAGATAAATACACATATGCATATACTATATAAATACATACATACATACACACACACACACACACACTATAGTACCTTCTGAAAACCAGCTTGCTTTTCTATTATTTTTTTTTTTACTGAGCTTATGATTTCATTGGTATAAGGATTTCTGAGAGGATGTCCTGAGACACTGCATATTGACATCTTGTCTGAAACTTATAGTCTGAAAAGTTGCCTAGGTCATCGAGAGGTTAAGAAACTTGCCCAGGGCCCCACAGCCATCATGGCAAAGGCAGAACCTAAATCTGGGTCTTCCCAATGCCTTGGGCAGTCCCTAACCACCATGAAACACTACTTCTTTCCCCACTTTAGCTTCTCAAATGTAGTGAAGTTTGGTTATCCCAAGAACAGCCTTCTGGTATCCTGTAGCTCCTGAATGATTTGTGAAATAGGTCTTTAAGATTTTTTCTTTGGCAGCAAAATTAAAAACAGCCAAAGTGCTTATTTTTAAAAGAATGATTTCCTGGTTCCAAAGACAGCTCTCATTTCACTTTGCATGAAAAGCCCTTGCTGATGTAGCTACAATGAATTCTTCTCAAATGAAGAATTCTATAAAAAGAGGTTCCTGTCCATGCCACAGTTAACTCATGGAATAGATTGTCCTTCTGTATAGTAACTATTTAAATGATTTCTACAATGTTAAGTACTGAAATCAAGTCAAACATTTATCAAGCACCTACTATATCTCAAGCACTGAAGATACAAAGGCAACAATTTGGAATAGAAAAAAAAATTATGTATATCCCTGGGATAATTGCCTGATTTATCAATAAAAAGGAAAAAGTCCATCCATTTACAAGTGATATCTGTAAAAGCCATGCCTTTTCTGCATAGAATTTAAGAAGTGAAAGAAAAGCAACCGAGATGGTATTTCTTTATTGCCTTTTTCAGAAAGGTCAATCCCTTCACCTGCCATTGAAGGCCTTCCAAAATCTGACACCATCTTACTTTCTAACCTATGTCCAGCCATGCTCCTTTCATGCTTGCTGTATTCTCCAGCCCAAACAAACTAATCTCTGTCCTCTGAACATAGGCTGTGCTTTCTCACCCTGCAGATACTCATGTTGGCCTAAGACGTCCTTCCTCATCCTCTTTATTTGTTGATTTCTTATGTATGTTTTAAAGTTCATTTAAAATGCCACTCCTTCTGTGAAGCCTGGGTCCATGACAACCTTTTCCAAAACAAAACAAAACAAAACAAAACAAAACAAAATTTTTTTCTGCCCTCTCATTTAATATAGTTATCTGTATTTGTGTCTTTTCTTCCTACTAGGCAATAAGGGAGAGAATATCTTAGCAAGTCAGTAAGTTGACACATTTATTAAAGTATCTACTATGTCCAGGAACTATGCTAAGTGCTAGGAATACAGAGAAAGGCCAAAATATCCCCTGCCCTCCAAGGAGCCCACATCCTAGGGGAACTAAACTTATTTCTTCTAGTGACCAGCACAACGTTCTACATATAGTAAAAGCTGACTAATGAGTGAATTTGTTGAAAGAAGAAAAACTAAAAGAGAAAAGGATTGAAAGTACCAGGGATTAGATGTCACAACTTAGCTGTAGAGGTTTCTTTAATAGGAGCAAAGATTTAGGGTGGTGATAGAGGATGTGCACAATAGAGACTTTGACAACAGAGAAGATTGCAATAAAGAGACTCAAGACAGAACATCTGAGGCAGCTGGACAGCCTAGGAATTCTGAACCTGGAGTCAAGAAGAAATGAGTTTGAATCCTACCTCAGACATTTACTAGCTGTGTGACCCTGAGCAAGTCACTTAACCTCTGTCTGCCCTAGCTTCCTCATCTGTAAAGCAGGGATAATACTAGCACCTACCTCCCGGGGTTGTTGAGAGTATAAAAAAAGATAATATTTATGAAGTGACTCACAAATCTTGAGATGACATTTAATGCTAGCCATTATTATTATCTTTTCAGTTTTAAGAGAAGCAAACAGCTGGCTGTACCTCATTGTTGTACCCTCTAAAGACACAGGCATAGGACACTGCATGTGTGCATACACATTTGCATATATGTGACTGGAGTGGGGCAGGGAAGAAAATCCAGTAGTCTTATACAATTCATCAGGTGGGGTTGGAGAGGAGGTTCGTTATATAAAGTATCAACATGAAAGGTACTGAGTCCTGTGCCAAGCACGAGTTATATCTGCATGACCAGACACTAAGGCAAGAAACTAAGAAGCGCTTATGCCAAGTCAGGAAATGATTTATAGATGTCTCAGATGGAATATAGTAGGCACTTACATGATTGTCATCTGAAGGAATGAGCTCAGGATAAACTTCCAGACAAATTCTAGAATGCATTATCAAAGGAATGTATCATATACTTAGAGCTATTTAACCTTTAATATTTAATGTTTTAATTAATATTTAACCTTTAAGTTCATCTAATCCACCGATTCTCATTTTCCTGATATGGTAACTGAGGCATAGAGAGCAAAATGACTTGCCCAAGGTCACACAGGTAGTAAACACCAGAAACAGGGTTTGAATCAAAGTCCTCTTTCTCAACGGCAAATGCTGTTTCTAATACACCGCTCCAAATTCTAGAAATGAAAGTAACCACAAGAATGATCACTCAGCTTCGTCAAGTATACTTCCTGTAGCAAGAAAAGAAATATGTGTACACAAATATTCATAGCAGAACTATTTGTATTCACAAAAACAAAACAAAAAGTTGGAAGCAAATGGTTTGCCCAATGAGTGGAGGATGGCCACATAAATTATGGTGTATTAATGTAATCAAATCTCATTGCTGTATAAAGGACAATGAATACACAGGAGTCAAAGAAATACGGGGAGATGTAGCCAAACAGAGAAAGAACAATAAAAAGACTACAATTATATAAATCAAGACAACTTTGAACTGCAACAAAATCCAAATGAAAAACAATAGTCAATAATGGTACTCACCTATTCCAGCATACTTCTGTTGCTGTTCATTCGTTTTGAACTCTTTATGATTTCATTTGGGGTTTTATTGACAGAGATACTGGAGTGGCTTGCCATTCCCTTTTCCAGATCATTTTACAATGAGGAAACTGAGGCAAACAGGGTTAAGTGACTTATCCAGGATCACACAACTGACAAGCATCTGAGATTAGATTTGAACTCAGGTGTTCATGACTACAGGCCGGGCATTCTATCCATTGTGCTACCTAGCTGCCCATTCTTTTAACAAATAATAAACTACTAAAATACAACAACATAGGTACTGTTCATTGCAATCACTCATATACTTTCTTAACTGTTTTAAAAGGGTATTGTATATTGTGCCAGGTAAAATTGTGAGTTAGATAGGGTCTCTATATTCTATCAAAATAAAATTTATCAATAAAAAAAGGACAGGTCATGCCAGATCAGCTACATTTCCTTTTTTTTTTTTTTTAAGACAATTACTAGACTGGTAGACCGGGAATTCAATAGATATCATTTGTCAACCAATTAACAAGCATTTATTAAGTACCTAAAATGTTCCAGGCACTGGGCTAGGAAGCAAAGATACAAATACAAAGAATGAAATGATTCCTGCTCTCAGGAATTTATCTAGATTTTAGTAAAGCTTTTAACAAAGTCTCTTATGCTATTCTTGTGAACATGGAGCACACAAGTTATTGTATAATATATTTATAATTATTTGGCCAGACCTCAGAAGATAGTCTCAAATAGAGTGCCACAAGGATCTCTCCTTGGCTCTGTTCTCTTCAACATGTTTGTCAGTGACATGGATAGAGGTATAGATAACATGCTTATCAATTTGTGGATAACACAAAGCCCTGATGAATAGTTAACACAATATATGATAGATCTGGGACCTCAGAAAATTCTTGACAAGCTAGGGCACTGCATTAAATCTCACATGATACAGTTATCCCTTCCATATCATGACTTTCCCTATTGTGGTTCTGACATATCATGGGCTGGCATAAGAAATAAAATGGAAATTTTGGGGGGAGTTTTTGCAGAAGCTGCAGAGGACACAGAGCCCATGACCAAATACTTAACCCAAATTTTACAATAAGGTGCTATAAACACCCCATAAAAGAATAAGAAAAATTCAGACTTCTTCTCTGGTATGAAGGGAGGGCCAAAAAATTGTATGTGGATTTTCCAGATATGGGAAAGGACGCTGTGCCTCTCACCCCTGCAATGTGGAAAGGATAACAGTATGATATAGTAGGATTTGAAACTTGGTTTCAAAAGAACAATTTCACAAGTAAAAGAACCATGGATAGGTAGCAGTTAATCTGAAAGAGAGCTGGGAATTTTTGTGAACTGCGGGCTCAATAGGTCAATAGCGTGCCAGGCAGTAAAGAAAGCTAACACGGTTGTAGGCTATATTCACATAGAGTGTATACAAGACTAGTTCTACTGTACTCATGGTTCTGTTGTATCTGCCCTGAGTGAGCCATTGGTTTCCTCTGGTCATCCGTCACATCTGGTCAAGAGCACATAAGATGGAGAGAATCACATAGAGAGAAAGCATGAAAGTAGAGACCTTTGGATTCATGCCGTATGAAAATTGGCCGATGGAACAGGAAACCTTTGACCTGGAGGAGCCAGGGGGCAGAACTAGGAGTTGTGTGTGAAAGTTACAGTTAGGTTGATTTAGACTTAAAGTAAAAAACCAAAAACCTAAACAGGAGTGGGGAACCTGTGGCCTCGAGGCCACACGTTGCCCTCTAGGTCCTCAAGTGTAGCTAGCCGGGCAGCACTTGAGGACCTAGAAGGCTACATGTGGACTCCAGGCCTCAGGTCCGCCACCCTTATTACAAACAAACAAGCAAACAAAACTTCTCCTTAAGCAGAGCTATTCCAAAGTGGAATGGATTGCCTCAGGAAGGAGAGGATCACTGGAGATCTTCAGGCAAAGGCTGGGTAACCACTTGTTGCGGATATTATCAGACACATGTTGGACCTAAACATGACAATGTAGTTTGTATTCAGAAGGCAGAAGTTTTGTGGAAGCATAGAGTGTATAATAAAGAGTCCTGCCAGAATACACTTTAGAGGTCAACCAGTCAACTTGTTTATTTCCTAGGTAAGGAAACTGAGGCTTGAATTGTTTATGGGTATATGGAGAGTTAGGGGCAGAGTCATGGCTAGATCTCAAGTTGTCTGAACAGCAAGTTCAGTATTCTGTTCACTCCATTGATTTGTTTTTCAACCCAATGGTTTCTTAAATTATGTCTCAACCATCCTAGGTCATAAACAGCTGTTGTGTTTTGGAAGATAAGAGGAATAAGGCATCTTAAATCTTCTCTGGACCATGCTAATATTTCTCAACCCTCTTTATTGTCAGGAAATGCTTCTTATTCCAATTCTGCTACTTGTTATATAGGTGACCTTTGGCAAATCCCCTAAACTCTCTAGGTCTTAGTTTCCCCATAAATAAAATGAGAAAGCTGGACTGGATTGGTGGTATAAATAGAAATGGGGATCCCTAAAGCATACATAAGAATCACTGAGGACGGTATATTTATCAACTTAGTTTTAAAATGTAATATTATCTATATTTTGTAGTATTTTGTTTATTTTATCAAATATTTCCCAGTTACATTTTCATCTGGTTTAGGTCATACTCAAGAGTGTTGTGGGCCTGTGAAGCCCACAGGCAACATGTTTAACACCTATGGACAAGATCATGCTTTTGTAAATTTAAATCCAAATCATTAGTTTGAGAACATCTTGAAAGCAGGAATTGTCTTTTACTTTTCTTTGTATTCCTAGCACTTAGCATGATGCCTGGCACATGGTAGGTTAATTAATGCTTATTGACTGACCGATCTTATGATTCTATGAACCTAGAGCCATCTTGCTGTGGTTTTAGCTTTTTTCCACCTTTTTTCACATCTTAGGTGAGGTAAAATAATTCTTTTGATTTGCAAGGGGCTTTAAGGTTTTACAAAACACTTTTTTTCACAATAACTCTGTGAAGTGAGGAATGTGAATATTAACCCTCCCATTTTATAGATTAAGAAACTGAGACTTCTTAAAGCCACCCATCTAGGGCATGTCATAGAATTAGAATCCAGGTTTCTTCAACCCTGGTGCTCTTTCTACAACTCCGTGATAGCAGGAGTTAACATTTCCTGTGGAAGGATTCCTTCAATTCTTTATGATCATTAATAAATTAC